GAATAAGCAATAAGTGGAAGTAGGTAGCGGCCTGCGGGTCACATTCGGAATTTACCAATGAGAAATGCCTTTATTATGCAAACATAACATAACATAAGGTAACATATTGCTTGAAAGGTAATGGCACACTTATTAATGTTTGCTGGGATATTCTGGAACTATTCATTTATTATAATACTCCCTGAAGATAACTGATATGGTTGCTCGTCAGTTTCGACTTACAATCCACACAATTGCCCAAAAAAATGATATCGCACCGCCACTGGTACTGCATATCATCTTGATTATTATGCTTGTAGGAGTAACTGAGGAATTAGACAGCAACACCAGAATCATAGTAGCGAAGGAAACGTTTGAACATCATATTATCATGATCTCAGAACAAGAACATATAAGTACTTATAGTTTGCTTGATAAAGGAAAGACTAGCGTTTTCCCAAGAACTGAATTTCCTGGTACTAAAAATTCACCACTCTGTAGTTCAATACCCTTTATCATATAACGAATTGCAAGGAATAATATATTTAATTGTTTTCGATAAAAATTATAGAAGGGAAGTTCAATTTTGAGACTATTGTTGAAGCAGGCAGTGCACACTGCACATAATATGATAACTCGTAACTCGATTTTGTGTATCCATGATACGAATTTGTGATATTTTTATCCGTTTGTTCAATAAAAATCATAGACTTCCTTCAAAGTATTGTATATTCATTCACATAAGTTTCTACTGATTATCAAAACCTACACTGTATCAAAACTTGTTTTCATGTGCAAATAACACAGGAATCAACGACCTCAGCTGAAAATAGTATAGGCACGCGTGCAAATCTGATGTGAAACGTTCAACAACATAATATCAATTTAATTCGAAGCAGGGGCGGATCCAGATCGTATTCGAAGGGAATCCATTTACAATAAAACTCTGAGTTAACTTCTAATTGTAAGTAAGAAGCAAGAGTCCAAGTTGTTATAATGGATCGATTCAGCCGAATCGATGTAGAATGGGAAGCATTTCGTAAACGAAAGACGAATAGTGGGAGAGTCGTTCATATGGTTATTCCAGAGCCGGCTGCAAATTTCAACCGTCATCTGATAACGAATTGATATACAGGGTCTTGCTTCCCACCTCCCGTCTTCTATAACTGAGTTATCAGTTGAGTCAGGATTTCGATATTTTGCAGATTTCAATAATCGTATCATAGAATGCATACTAGGAGAATAATTTAGATTATTCAGGGTGTCCCAAAAAAGTGTGACGTTATAATTATATATTTTTTTTATTGGCATGCCATATATTTTGTTGCACATTTGAGTGCTTTTAGTGGTTACCTACATACTCCTGGAATTTGATTGATATCGGTCAGGTGATATGCACGTAAAAAAATATAAAAAATCCATTCAATTTTGCACCATTGGTCAAAAACATTAATAATAGAAAGAGAGTGCCTGCTCAATAGAATCATAAGAGATACATATCAAAGAAGGCCTGAGAGGATCGCTAACCAAGTTTGATTGACACGAATCATCACAGGGTGTGCAAAATTTAGTGACAAACTTTCCAAATTTCAAAGCACTATATTTGTCTTATTCCAAATTGAAGCCCTTGTATATTTTCATATCATGCGTGAATGAGAAACAAATTTGTTTTCTCATTGCAACCTCATCGAAATTCTCATCGAATCAAAAGTTATTTGCCGAAAACTCGTTTCATCAACTATTCTGCGGTAGTCATTTGAATGAATAAAAAACAAAGGTGGCTTGAGAAACTGTGCTTTGAGAAGTGAATTATTGACATTTAACTCTAATGAAGTGTCAGTAGTCTATTTGGGCTTGAGTTGTTCAAATTCAATACATTGTTAGCTCATTATTATGAATTTTTTGAGCTGTATATAACGAAATATTGTTTTTTGTCACAGAGTTCAACCAAGAAGAGCTCGTAGATATGATTTTACTGTTAGGAGAATGTAAGAAAAACCCCATTTTGGCAAGTGGAGTTTATGCACAACGTTATCCGGAACGACGTCATCCAGACAAACGGAGCCTGCAGAACTTATTGGATAGGTTTGTACGAGTTGACTGCTCACAAAATCATTCCTCTCACATTGTGGAGTTTTCGCAAAAAAAATAAATCAATCATGGTTCAAATACTATTCAGATCAAGTATAAATTCAAAGTATCGTAAGATGATGAAAATAATATTGGTGACCTCGTGAAGCCAAAGGTAACCTAGACCAAAAATAAAACTTGTAAGGCCCAAGGCATAATTTATGCTGACTCATTACAGAAACTATTTACTGGGGATACAAAGTACTAAATTGAAAATATCAGCATACTCTATCTAATCTCCTTACTAATGGAATAACATTCCTATTGAGGTTATACACATTATATTAGCAAAACAAAGTTTAATTTGTTTACTAATATGGAAAAATTTCAAGTTTATGATGGTCGTCCTGAAATTGTTTGTCTATCGAGGACATTATTTTCTGTAGGTCATGGTGGAGAAATAGCTAGTCATATAGTGAGTTGAAACATGAGTGTGCTATTTGCAAATTTCGCCATCAAGTGGCGGACATTTGGCTAGATAAATAATCAATGAAATAAGATTGAAACTTATTCTTGATCTCCTCCTGAAGATGCCCACATTGTTAGCGAAACTGGCAACGGGTAGACAAGGCAGTAGGAGAATACTAGAGAATATCACAGGTTGCAGGCAGGCCAAAGAATTCGTGGCTGGTCCGAGCAAATCAAGGAAGGACTGGCTGCTTGACAGATACAGCCAAGTACTCACAGGACAAAACAGGCTAGGCAGACACCTAACACTTCCATTTTCTCGGTATGAGCGAAGCGTACGGGAGGCTGAGATTTGAAATCTTTGAGATCGACAAACTCCGAGACAAACTCCAACAGGAGGAGTTGATCATATTGGAGTGGACGGACATACTGGCCTTCATCAGAAGGTCAGGCAGATTCGTAAAGGAAATCTAAGTGAAGGAAGCGTAGATATGTGGAGAGCAGGGGTCAGCAAAGAGTTGCTTGGCTACAGCCTCCCCACCTTCTACTACTACTACTACTAGCGATACAGGCATTGACAAATGAGCTTGGATAATAGCAAACAGAGTGACGTGCAGAATATTTTCCATGCCAATAAGCTATATAGTATGTTCGGGTGAAGATATCTAATTTTTTCTAATCGTGTCCTCTCCTAATAAGGTATTCCCTTCCTCAATATTGTGTTTGCAAGATTTTTCTTCTCTTTTTGAGTGAGTTTTGAATCTCATTTCTCCGAATCTGTTCTTCATTCGAATCCTGTTTTCCCTTCGCTTCTGATAATGAGACACATTCACAATCATATTTATTCAGAAACAGAATCTCCGAAATTTTTCATCGAAAAATGGGAAATATTTTTACCTTTTGCTCTGACATAAGCTGTTATACTTCCTCAAGAAATCATTGAAATTACGTACAAGAATATTGGGAAGTTTTGAATGGTTGCTATTTATTTTATATTGGTGAAAAATGCAAGAAAATAACTCTGTTTCAGATATAATCATTGAAAAAATTGTAGAAACAACACGCCAATTTTTGCCTGCTTACGAACAAGTATTTTCCGAATTCAATAAATGAAAAGAGAAACGCAGCATAATGGCATTAAATGAGATAAGTCCTCAACCTTATTATGTATTAAATTTGAAGCAGTATGCAATTTCATTCATGTGGTCGAAGTAATCGATGCTGAAGGCCACTACAATGGTCTATAAAAATATAGACATTGGGAAATATAATAATTCCAGATGCCTATTCATGAAGCAAAACTCATTATCATGATGAATACTATGAATAGTAAAAGGTTTAAGAAGAAAACTTCATATGAACATATGCCATAAACCTCTCAAGTTTCGAACTATAGGGTGTTAACATTTCATTTTCTCTTTTTTGATTGGAGAAACTCTCATAATGTGAAAAACTGTAACGTTTATGAATACTTATCAAAATAAGAACGCAACGTAATCGATCAAATGTCATTATTTCAAAAACGAAATAGGGCACTAGCCTATATAAGTTCACAATAATTTCGTTATGCCACAAATGCGTGAAAAAAGTTTTTATTTTATACGTGGAAATGGTTTGTCGGACAAAAAAAATCCAGGAAGTTGAATTGTTGCAGAATAAATGAGGATTTCAGAAGAGAGTTTTATTCTAGGAAAAATCAAGGGCATACATTTTTTTTTCAAAATCTCCAGGATACATACCAAACGGACGCCACTAGTAGAAATATTGAAAAATCTCTTGCATCAAAAAATGACTTTTGAAAACGAATTCTTTCTTAAAATGTAAACACCCTATAGCTCGAAGGTTAAGAGGTTTTGGGCATATACTCAAATAAAATTTTCTGCTTGAAATGACCTGGGAAACCATATACTTCATTTATGTAATAACATTTTCGTTATGTTCGGAATGAATATTTTTTATACTTCATTCCTCATTCCAGATGCTTGAAGGATTCTGTTTTTTCTCCAAGTGGCATAGAAAGCGGCTTTTCTCTGACATGTAACAGGCAGGAAATGCGTACTTTCTTTGTCTATGCAGAAAAAGTTTGTAGCTTTGGAACGTTCCAAGTAATTTGAATGAAATTGGTAATCAAAATTGACAATGTAATTAGGTGAACACAAAATTGGTTTCATAACATTTGGAGGAACAATTACCTATATTTTTCACACGGCAGCAAATGTAGATTGACTGCCTTAGTTGAATCGCTAGCCTCGCTATAACTAATGTTTCCTGTTCCAAATACTGCTTCCTTTATTCTTTGTTCCTTATTTTGTCGCATTGTGTCACGACCTAAATAATGTACTGGTTCACTGGGTAAGTAAGATCCGGCTCTGTAATATCTTGTCAGTAAACAATCAGCGAAACGCGTCTGCTTTTGTTCCGACATTCTTAATCTCTTTACAGGTTTCTGTTATCATGCGAATGGGCCAAATTCTACTACTCACCCGAAATAAAGAAGAAGTTGCCGTTGCTGTTTCTGACTTGGCAACGTTGTACTGTGTGTTGATTTTCACAAGAGCACGACGTTCGATCCTGGCAAATGGACGATACGAGATCTGCCGCGAACTGGATAGATTGAATGCGGAAAAGACGTTTTGCTTAGCTCTCGTCGACTTGTAGCTATAATAAAAACACGCTGTTTACTCTCGAAGTGCACTTGACATTGTAATCACTCGCTTTGTTTGTGTTGTTTTGATAGGATGCGATGAGAATAATATCTGTGTATAAATGGAATATGGAGAAGATGGTCAACAGAATCATTCAGATTATGTTATCTTAGACAGGGCCGGTTTCACCTTCTTTGTGGCCCTAAGCGTGGATAACGATAAATGGGTATCAAAAGAAAAACAAGCAACACAAAGTCGGTCGACCACACTTTATATAAAAATCTACAATCAAAAGCAAGGAACATGTTTTTAAAATATACCAAACAATATTGGACCCAACCAATAAAACAATATATCATGGTACTATACGATTTTCGTCAACGGGTTGAAAGAATCTGGAATATTTGTAGATCTTTTTCAAGTTTACTGAAGAGCCAGAAATGTCAAAGAAATTGAAAAACTGTTTTTATACAAACATCAGTTTGCCGTCAGTACTAAGAGGAACCAAAATTGTAAAAATTAACACTTAAGAAAGGAAATGACATTGCCTTTGGACACGAAACAGATAATCAATGAGTGACATGTGCTGAACGGACACAAGAGATGTTGAGGTGAGTAACTTCAAGAGAGAACAGTGGTGCGAAGAAGAGAGGTGAGCATGTTGGAATCAGATCAAAGAAAAAGAACGTGAAGAGAATACAATCAAAAGAAGAGAAATAAGTGTAGCAGGAGAATGAAAAGAGAAGGAAGGAACGAATAGACAATCAGATATCCAGTGGCGGAGAGGTAATAACTGCAAAGGAGGGGAACACCAATGAAGAGTCATGATAATTTCAAAGTCCTGAGAATATGGTTACGTTCGAAATTGGTTTGATCATTGAGACATGAAACATTATGATTGTTGATGCATATCTGAATTTTCATGATTTCATGGAGATTTAATCTAGGTCCTTTATCACAGATATAAAGAATTTCAGAATTACAAACAACATCGAGAGAATAATTGAAATCTATAATATGATTGGCATTTTGAACTCTGGAACTCACCTTGATAATCACCACAGTTGCAAAACTTCCAATCTATAATTCTATCAAACACTGAACGAAAAAAAGAAAGAACAACACAATGCAATGCATGCACCTTCGATCTAAAATTGCGAATAGTTCTGTGTAATCCTTGTCTTCAATTAATAACATGAGTATTACGCTTCAGATGCGCTATTAGTGCCCTGAAAAATGCATTCTGGGAACGCAAAAATTACTGCTTTTTCTTATTTCTGTTCACACTTTTGTCGAAGTTGAACGTGGAACATATCTGTTACTTATCCGTTTCGAACACAGCGTCGTTAATGTGGTCGTAATGAGTTTGAAAGTAACGATACATTATAAAGACATAACACTAGATACGAAGCACGGTAGAGTCAAGGAAAACGTTTCAGTATCGTTTATATACTGAGACGTTCGAATTGCACATGATATATTCGTCATTGTTACGTGTTTACTGAAATAACCATTGTCACTTTGAAAATAACGTAAGCAAACATCTTTCTCATGTATTTTGCCTAGTGGGTTGTAACCTACAAAAGTTAAAAAAACTCTATCACCTATCTCCTCTCCCTATCCTCCCTAGGTACGCACGATATCGATCTTATAGACTCATTAGCAAATTTTTGTCCGCTGTTGATCCTAATTCCAATCATATTATAGATTTCAATTATTCTCTCGATGTTGTTTGTAATTCTGAAATTCTTTATATCTGTGATAAAGGACCTAGATTAAATCTCCATGAAATCATGAAAATTCAGATATGCATCAACAATCATAATGTTTCATGTCTCAATGATCAAACCAATTTCGAACGTAACCATATTCTCAGGACTTTGAAATTATCATGACTCTTCATTGGTGTTCCCCTCCTTTGCAGTTATTACCTCTCCGCCACTGGATATCTGATTGTCTATTCGTTCCTTCCTTCTCTTTTCATTCTCCTGCTACACTTATTTCTCTTCTTTTGTTTTTATTCTCTTCACCTTCTTCTTTTTCTTTGATCTGATTCCAACATGCTCACCTCTCTTCTTCGCACCACTGTTCTCTCTTGAAGTTACTCACCTCAACATCTCTTGTGTCCGTTCAGCACATGTCACTCATTGATTATCTGTTTCGTGTCCAAAGGCAATGTCATTTCCTTTCTTAAGTGTTAATTTTTACAATTTTGGTTCCTCTTAGTACTGACGGCAAACTGATGTTTGTATAAAAACAGTTTTTCAATTTCTTTGACATTTCTGGCTCTTCAGTAAACTTGAAAAAGATCTACAAATACTCCAGATTCTTTCAACCCGTTGACGAAAATCGTATAGTACCATGATTTATTGTTTTATTGGTTGGGTCCAATATTGTTTGGTATATTTTTAAAGAATGTTCCTTCGCTATTATTATCATATATATTTTAGGTACCTACCATTGTCTGATGATGGCCGTAGTTCCGAAACCGGTTACTTTTGCTTGGACATTTTCATGTAAAGTGTGGTCGGTCGACTTTGTGTTGATACCCATTTATCGTTATTCACGCTAAGGGCCTCAAAATACATGAGAAAGATGTTTGCTTACGTTATTTTCAAAGTGACAATGGTTATTTCAGTAAACACGTAACAATGACGAATATATCATGTGCAATTCGAACGTCTCAGTATATAAACGATACTGAAACGTTTTCCTTGACTCTACCGTGCTTCGTATATAGTGTTATGTCTTTATAATGTATCGTTACTTTCAAACTCATTACGACCACATTAACGACGCTGTTTTCGAAACGGATAAGTAACAGATATGTTCCACGTTCAACTTCAACAAAAGTGTGAACAGAAATAAAAAAAAGCTGTAATTTTTGCGTTCCCAGAATGCATTTTTCAGGGCACTAATAGCGCATCTGAAGCGTAATACTCATGTTATTCATTGAAGACAAGGATTACACAGAACTATTCGCCATTTTAGATCGAAAGTGCATGCATTGCATTGTGTTGTTTTTTTCTTTTTTTCGTTCAGTGTTTGATAGAATTATAGATTGAAAGTTTTGCAACTGTGGGGATTATCAAGGTGAGTTCTAGAGTTCAAAATGATTTCAGTGATTCTGTGGTTTGAGATCATGAATTGATGAATTGATGATTCATGACGTGAGGTATTGACGAGTGTATAGTAAAGAAATATCTTCTTGGTAATTTTATCCGCTACAACGGTTTGCCAAAAAAATTATAGGATTATTATAGAATAGGTCAACAGTTTTCTGGACGTCTCGAAAAGTGTGAATTATCAAATATCAAGTGTACCAAAATTCATTAAATTTTACGTTGTTCAATACATTCTGAAGTAGGACACGGGGATTGGGAAAAACTTGGGAAAAAACCTTAATAATCTTCTACCCAAGACTCGAATTGATTCGATATAGGTAGGTGATTTTGTGATGAGGGCCGATATAAATCATGATCTTGGTGATTTTTCTTATTCCTAGAACCTCGGATTTCAAATTTGATTCATGTCTATTGATTTCTTCAAATCACTTTGAAAAAATAAATGAAAAGCATTTAACGAAATTTTGGATTTTTTCGTATATCTCCAAAGGTATTCGGAAGTTTCAGCACGGAATTTTGATAGGCATAATTGAATCGACCCTGTATCTGTCATGGAAACCATCCATCCTTCTCAAAGTGGTCCAGATTTCTCAAAGAAAAAACACAAACGCTAAGTCGGTCGACCACAAAGTTTAATTACTAAAAGATTTTTGTGACTAGTTTTGGCTCAAGCAGCCATTTGTTGGCTTTTGTTTTTTCAAAAAAACGGTCATTTTAAGATGAAACTCATGTGAGTGAATTTAACTGCTAGTTTTCCAATTTTTCTGCCAATGTTGAATCTAATCCTTATTAGGTTCTTTTGGCTGTTCAGTCGGTTCAAAATAATACAAATATTTTCACCTGACTGAATTTTGGCCAATGACCCTTGCAATTTCAATTTTCAATTAATCAATTATGTGATTCCACGTGTACTTTATAGGTATGTTTTTCCTCAATACGACATTTTTTCTTGTAAATCAATATCTTTACAGGTACTATATACTGTGTCTGAAGATGGCTGCTTGAGCCGAAACTAGTCACAAAAATCTTTTTGTAATTAAACTTTGTGGTCGACCGACTTAGCGTTTGTGTTTTTTCTTTGACCCTGTATCTCTTACGGATTACCAGAATTTTTGAGTTGTGACGTTAACATAATGGTATATTCCAATTGGTCATACATTGCATGCATTGAAGTTAGTGGAATGGAGAAGACAAAAAGAGTCTTTTGAAACCTGCATAGGAAAAAAAAAGAATTGTAACAAGGGGAATAAGAGAGCCCTGAAAAATAATGGGTAGAAATACAACACCAGAATGAAACTTTAGAATGTATGTGATTTTAATATTCACCTATGCTTCAACATAGTACCCACTTATGTTTGGATTCAATTTGAAAAATGTAACATGGGGAAAACGTATTTATTTTTCAAAAAAATTCTCAAGAATAGATGTATTTTTCAATTTCATTCACTAGGTATAGTTCCTTCATTCGAAAAATTCACCTGCCTTCGTGCCTATAGTCACCTCTTTTCCCAAACTTTTAGAAAATCATTGGTATTCAGCTCAAAACTTGTCTAATGGTAATACTCGTTTGTTTCTAGTCAAAAAACGAAGGAAATAAAAAAATCACCGGAAGAGTAATGTTCAGCAACTCAAGGGCACGATTTTGGTTGCGAAAATAACAATAAATATCAGGGCACATTGCCCCTCGTCAATGAAGCTTATCATGAATGTTAATGAGGTCAACAAATGGAAACAATACCCAATACATACATGTTATTCATGGCAATTTTTTACGATGTTACATCAGAAAATTGCTGCTTTTTAGGAGCAATACCTCAAGAAAAAATTCAAGCATAACAAATCAAAACTGTAGAAACAGGCAAGTAAATTCTCGCGGTGAATGAGGTACACCAGAGGAACATTCACCACCATTTTAAGAAATAAATAATAACTAACTATAATTTTCAAC